ACACACACACACGATGCGCACACATATTGTTAATGAAATTTAATTTATTGTATTTTTTTAATATTATTTAATTATTTATTAATTATTGTTCTTTTTTTTATTAGATGTTATTGTCCACTTATAATGTTATTCAATTTGTTATTGTTCACTTATTGTCTTATTCATATGTTATTTATTTATTTATTTTGATCAAATATTTGTTAAATGTAGACTACAATATAATATTAGTGATTATGATTTATGTTATGACATATTTTATAAATATTTTCAAATTAAAGAGTGGAAGCGTAAAACTGAAAATTAATTTATTTTCAGACGTCAGCTCTATGTAGTTATCAAACTGTTTAGTTCAATTCAATACTTAAATTTCAATGAATACCAAATAGTCCATAAATTCAGATTTCAGTTTTCAGCCTTCAGACTTTAGCTTTCAACTTTTAGACTTTAGTTTTCAGTTTTATTAAACACCACCTAAAGATAACTTACCCAACTAATTTTAGACAACATACTGAGAATTGTTACTTTCAGGTGCGTATTGATATAAATTTATATCTTTGAGGGTACAAATTGAGATTCGATAAATCTTGCAAGGTACAATTTACAATTAACCCTTTTTTTATAAAATTCAAATGACTTTATTATATATAGATAGTCCCCACGAGCAAGAGCTATCCAGCCTGCAAGTGTGTCGGCAGAAATGGGTGGTTAGCTATTGGGTGTATCTAATAGAATTTGTTTCCCAGAAACTAAAAAAGCGGTTAAATTTTCTCAGCGGTTAAATTTTCTCGGAAAGTTTTGTTACAACAAAGATGATAAAGAGAAGACTGAATTTCAACGGAAGAACTGCGGGAAATGCGGCGGCGAAGACTTCATCAGTTTCTAAAGACGAAGAGGTGGAATGGGAGATGAGACCCGGCGGAATGTTGGTGCAGAAAAGAAGTGATAATTCCGGAGTTTCTGCTCCCAATGTTCGTGTTCGGGTGGCTTATGGTGCAGTGCGGTTCGAGATCTCGGTGAACTCTCGGGCAACTTTTGGTAAGTCCAGATGGATCTATCTCTGCAAGTTATTTGATTTTGTTTCTGTTTGGTTGTCGAGAAAATGCAGGAAAATAGATGAACAATGTGTCCTGTTTGTTTTCTTGGTAGAAACTGAAAAGTTTGTAGATTTTGATTTGTGTTTCGACCACCATACTAACTCCAAAGTTTACTTTCTAACTTTTATTCTTTTGAATCTAATAAACTGTGTCATATTAAATTTGTATTATGTGAGAATTATATAAAATTGCTATATAAACGAGTCACCCGTATTTGTTCCGATTGATTTATTTAAGAGTAATGTTATTGAGACATAATTTGAGGATATAATTTGAAGACATAATGAGTTGTTATCAATAATATAATAATAAATTCATTAATGCTACAATGAGACCCATCATTTAATATATTTCACTATTATTTTATTGGTGACAACTCATTTTGTCCCAATAGCATTAGTGTTTATTTAATCGTGTTACCCCTCGTTTATGAAATAAATTATTTCAAGAAGAGTCAAATCCACTAATTTTATATTATATTCGTGTTGTGTTAACAGATTGTATCATATTTTAATACCTAATTATAAAGAAAGATAACAAAATTCAAACCAAAATAATGACTTTAAACTGCAAATATTTATCAAAGTCAATGGCTATCCTCGGATCAACTTAATTATTTACATATCCGACCAATAACAAGCAAATGTTCGATTTTAAAATTCTTTTTCATACATATAATTAGGCATCACACGATGACAGAGTTACTATTGGGAATATGACCATAATGCCTTACTAGTTGCAAAGTTTTTTTTCTTTTTTACCGGTATTTACATGAAGAGAAAGATAATGAGGTTCGAAGAGCGAACAAATTACAGGGCGGGTTATTGGGTAAACCATTGCAATTAGTTTCCATGTTTTGTCATTCTTTTTAAGGGTAAAATTATAAATTTGAGTTGGGTTGGCAACTGACAGGTGAATTGAAGAAGCTTCTGACGGGGGAGACAGGGTTAGAACCTGTTGAACAGAGACTAATTTTCAGAGGAAAAGAAAGAGAAAATGGGGAGTATTTGGATATGTGGGGAGTCAAAGAGAGATCAAAAGTCATACTAATCGAGGACCCAGAGAGCAGAGAGAGGAGACTCATTGAGATGCGTAGGAAAGTTAAGATCCAAACCGCACATCGCCTGATCAATGACCTGTCCATGGAGCTTGATAAGCTTGCCGAGCAGGTGAGCAAAAAAAATGAAATGTTTTTTTTTTTTCCAACGGTTTTGTTTGTTTTAATTATAGTCAATTATCCAAAATTAGTTTTTTTTTGGGCAAAATCCAAAATTAGTTTATTTAAGGCTAATTTCACTTTGCATCCGGAAAGATACTTTGATATTTAATTTGCTCAATTTACGATAACAATATAAACCTGACTCAGACTGTCGTTTAATTTTTCCCCATAAATTAAAGCACGTGAGATACAAGTGCTTTGGGGATGAAGATGAGGTATGTCCATTGATGCAAATCTTCGTCTGCTATCAATTTGACACCATTTTGTGTATCGAAAATAAGATTGCATTAATCATATAGAAGTTAACCATATCATGTGTAACTCACATGCAGCTCCAACAATCTATGAATTTACATACAAATCCATGTCCAAAGCACTTGAAACTCATGTGCTTTAATTTATGACAAAAAATTAAACAGCAGTTTGTGTTAAGTTCACATTGCTACCAATTCATAATATTGAGGGGTGCAAATTAAAAATAAAAATATTTTTTAGGATGTAAAGTGAGATAAACCCTTTATTTTATCCCATTTGATGGGTGTACGGAGATTTCACTGTTAATTTCAAAAGTTGGTTCAATAATTTCGAAATTGTGGTTTCAAATCAAATCTAAGGATAACTACTTTACATAAATAATGTCAAATGTGTTCGTATCTAATTTATCTCTTCATTTCTTTTTTTGATAAATTATCTATCATGTATTCAAGTATGATTCATTATATATAAGTAAATTCTTCATTTATTAATAATGATTGATGTCCCAATAAGAGAATCGAAAAAGAAAATATATTAGAGAAGATAAATTTTACTAAGTTTTTGCTAGTCGATTCGTTTATTAAATAAGTTAGAGTGATGAAATAATTAAAATTGATCCGAATTGACAAAATTAAGACAAAAAGGTGGGTGACAGGGCAATTCACTTTTAGTGCCCAAAAAAGCTGTTAGTGATGTTGAGTGAAATCACCAATACATTGGGGGGGCTGGGGGTCCATTTATCATTGGCTCTAGGAACTTGACTGAAAACCACTGTTTTAAGTTGGGCCTTGTGTACCCACCTGCTGCTTTTGTTTATTATTTGAAGTTGATTCAACTTTGCGAGAATTATGCTCTTTTTAAGTCTTGAAAATTTTCAATTGATCATTTAGATTTGTCGATATTTAAAGTATTATACACAAGTCTCCTAAACTTTGTACGTACATAATATTTAAACTCTGTCGTTAAATATTAGTTAGTATATCTCTTATTAAATTACACTTAATTCTCTGAAGTTTATAAGCATATAATACTTAGACCCCTCAAATTTAAAATATTATACGTAAATAAAAAATATTTTAATTAAAAATAGAATATCAAATATTTTAAATTTTAGAACCAAAATTCATGCTTTATTGTATTATTTATTGAAACAAATTAAAAAATAAAAAACCAATTTTTTCTTAAAAAATCATAACTAATATACAATTATATTATCAATGGGAGTAAAACTTAAAAATCAAACAAAGGGTTTAAATCATTCATAATAGAATATGAATTTTACATCAAAAATTTATGTTCTATTATGTCATTTATTAAAAAAAAAATCTAATTTTTCTTAAAAAATCATAATTAGTATACAATTATACTCTCTATTAAAATAAAACTAAAAAATCAAACAAGAGGTCAAACTGTAAATAAGACAATATATTTTAACTTTAATTAGGGTAATTTGGTAGTTTAATTTGATCGTTTAACCAAATTATTAAATTCAAATAGATAGTATAAATTATACTAATTATGATTTTTTTTTTTTAAATTATTTTTAATTTTATTTCAATAAATGTCATAATAGAATATGAATTTTTGTTGTAAAATTTAAAATATTTGATATTCTATCTTTGATTAGAATATTTTTTATCTAAGTATAATATTTTAAACTTAAGGGGTCTAAGTATTTTATACCTATAAACTTCACGGAATCTAGATGTAATTTACTAACGGATATACTAACAGAGATTGACGTCAGAGGTCTAAGTGTTACGCGTGTACAAACTTCACAGGGTCTGTGTGTAATATTTCAAATGTCAGGAGACATGAGTGATTAAGTAACAAACCTCAGGGGTTTGAATATAATTCTCCTTTAAACTTTTGTCATCTTTATCCATAAAAATTAAAATTTTCATCTTTACCCTTAAAAGTTAATTGATTTTTAATTTTCATATCCTTAAAAATTAATTTTTATCCATTTCATTCTTAAATTTTCAACCAGTTTTAATTCAAATCATTCAATGACATTCGACAAAATCTTGTCAAAAAATTTCACACAATCTAAGCAAATTAAAAATAATTTTTTCAAAAAACTAAAAAAAAAAACTTGATTAATTGCTATTTTACAAAAATAATCTATATGCATTTTGCTGAAAGTAAAATATAAAAAACAAACATTTCTAAAAACGCGTTAAATAAAAAAAATACTTAAAAAGAAATTATGATTANTGAAAGTAAAATATAAAAAACAAACATTTCTAAAAACGCGTTAAATAAAAAAAATACTTAAAAAGAAATTATGATTATCACCCAATAGCTATTACTAGATGTGGAAATTTCATTCATGCTCCTGTTCTATAGGTTTCTGCTATTGAAAAGTCTATTGGAAATGGTAACAAAGTACCAGAAGTACAGATCACCACATTGATTGAGATGTTAATGAGACAAGCCGTGAAGATAGATAGCATTTCTGCAGAAGGAGATGCATGTGCTCGGAAAAAATTACAGGTAACTCCCCATTTCTTGAATTTTTTTTTTTTTTCATCTTATTAACTAGATTAATATGTGAGAATACTTGAAACTCCACTGGAGTTTAGGGCTGGCATCGGGCTGACCCGGCCTTCGATTGACAACCATGTCCTCCTAGAGACAGGGCTGGACCAGCCCCCAAAGAAAGGTCGTCCCACGGCCTATCTATCTGGCCTGTCTTAATGAGCTTCAAACGGCATGTAATCGGGGTTTTGTTTTATTATTTGGTGGTTCGAGGGGGGAGCCAGAATGCAGGTGGATTCGAATCTTCTACATTAGTTGAGGAATAGCAAAACGAGCTCATTTCATATTAAAACAATATCATTTTATTAAAAAAAACAAAGTAATTTTAGTGTGAAACGATATTGTATTGATGAACAGAATCTCTGTTGTACGGCAGAAGATCCAAACTAGAACGCGAGCCTACCAATGGATTGCCCATGTGGCAGTAAAAGAGGCCAATCAGTCGGGCTGAGACAGGCTAAAACGCGGTTGACACTTGAAAGTCCTACCTACGTTATACCTTAATAACNTTTCAATTGATCATTTAGATTTGTCGATATTTAAAGTATTATACACAAGTCTCCTAAACTTTGTACGTACATAATATTTAAACTCTGTCGTTAAATATTAGTTAGTATATCTCTTATTAAATTACACTTAATTCTCTGAAGTTTATAAGCATATAATACTTAGACCCCTCAAATTTAAAATATTATACATAGATAAAAAATATTTCAATTAAAAATAGAATATCAAATATTTTAAATTTTAGAACCAAAATTCATGTTTTATTGTATTATTTATTGAAACAAAATAAAAAATAAAAAACCAATTTTTTCTTAAAAAATCATAACTAATATACAATTATATTATCAATGGGAGTAAAACTTAAAAATCAAAAAAAGGGTTTAAATCATTCATAATAGAATATGAATTTTACAACAAAAATTTATGTTCTATTATGTCATTTATTAAAATANAATATACAATTATATTATCAATGGGAGTAAAACTTAAAAATCAAAAAAAGGGTTTAAATCATTCATAATAGAATATGAATTTTACATCAAAAATTTATGTTCTATTATGTCATTTATTAAAATAAAAATCTAATTTTTCTTAAAAAATCATAATTAGTATACAATTATACTCTCTATTAAAATAAAACTAAAAAATCAAACAAGAGGTCAAACTGTAAATAAGACAATATATTTTAACTTTAATTAGGGTAATTTGGTAGTTTAATTTGATTGTTAAACCAAATTATTAAATTCAAATAGATAGTATAAATTATACTAATTATGATTTTTTTTTAAAAAAAAAAATTTATTTTTAATTTTATTTCAATAAATATCATAATAGAACATGAATTTTGGTTGTAAAATTTAAAATATTTGATATTCTATCTTTGATTAGAATATTTTTTATCTAAGTATAATATTTTAAATTTAAGGGGTCTAAGTATTTTATACCTATAAACTTCACGGAATCTGGATATAATTTACCAACGGATATACTAACAAAGATTGACGTCAGAGGTCTAAGTGTTACGCGTGTACAAACTTCACAGGGTCTGTGTGTAATATTTCAAATGTCAGGAGACATGAGTGATTAAGTAACAAACCTCAGGGGGTTTGAATATAATTCTCCTTTAAACTTTTGTCATCTTTATCCATAAAAATTAAATTTTCATCTTTACCCTTAAAAGTTAATTGATTTTTAATTTTCATATCCTTAAAAATTAATTTTTATCCATTTCATTCTTAAATTTTCAACCAGTTTTAATTCAAATCATTCAATGACATTGGACAAAATCTTGTCAAAAAATTTCACACAATCTAAGCAAATTAAAAATAATTTTTTCAAAAAACTAAAAAAAAAACTTGATTAATTGCTATTTTACAAAAATAATCTATATGCATTTTGCTGAAAGTAAAATATAAAAAACAAACATTTCTAAAAACGCGTTAAATAAAAAAAATACTTAAAAAGAAATTATGATTATCACCCAATAGCTATTACTAGATGTGGAAATTTCATTCATGCTCCTGTTCTATAGGTTTCTGCTATTGAAAAGTCTATTGGAAATGGTAACAAAGTACCAGAAGTACAGATCACCACATTGATTGAGATGTTAATGAGACAAGCCGTGAAGATAGATAGCATTTCTGCAGAAGGAGATGCATGTGCTCGGAAAAAATTACAGGTAACTCCCCATTTCTTGAATTTTTTTTTTTTTTCATCTTATTAACTAGATTAATATGTGAGAATACTTGAAACTCCACTGGAGTTTAGGGCTGGCATCGGGCTGACCCGGCCTTCGATTGACAACCATGTCCTCCTAGAGACAGGGCTGGACCAGCCCCCAAAGAAAGGTCGTCCCACGGCCTATCTATCTGGCCTGTCTTAATGAGCTTCAAACGGCATGTAATCGGGGTTTTGTTTTATTATTTGGTGGTTCGAGGGGGGAGCCAGAATGCAGGTGGATTCGAATCTTCTACGTTAGTTGAGGAATAGCAAAACGATCTCATTTCATATTAAAACAATATCATTTTATTAAAAAAAACAAAGTAATTTTAGTGTGAAACGATATTGTATTGATGAACAGAATCTCTGCTGTACAGCAGAAGATCCAAACTAGAACGCGAGCCTACCAATGGATTGCCCATGTGGCAGTAAAAGAGGCCAATCAGTCGGGCTGAGACAGGCTAAAACGCGGTTGACACTTGAAAGTCCTACCTACGTTATACCTTAATAACGAGTAATGTTATGTAATATAAATTTACAATTTAAATTTGTATCATAAATGAAAGAGGATCATTGAATCAGTGAATCCCATTTAAAAAATTTCATGGGATCCACTTATCTAATGGTCCCCCTTCTTTTGAAATGCAAATTTGGGTTATAAATTTGAGTTACATAATATTTCCTAACAGGTTGTCTGCCCGTCTCTCTTGCAAGTTGCAAGTAGTGATGTGCTGTCTGTATTCAATTTATGCTTAAAACTAGACTTGCTTGTTCGGGTAAATTATAATTTACTCCCTTAGATTATTATTTTTATTTTATTTTTTTTATGCCCTCAATTATAAATTTGTTTACATTGCACCTTAAAGTATCAATTTTGTTTTATATCACTCCAATTATAACGAATGTAAATTTTTTGACAATAAATACATATGTGAGTAGTCTGTACTGTCAATAAGCAATTCTTTTGAAAGCATAGTAATTACACATATTCATGTTCCTAATAGGTTTGACAAGATTTATGCTAATTGTGAACTACTTAACATCATGCTCCTTTTTATCGAGGTGCGACACTAATGACGTATAAAGCAAATATTTTCAAATTCTTAGCACAATTTCCGGTAGAACTACAATACATTAGTCATTAGCTCATCCACAACTAGCATTCAAAGTTTCAAATTGAAATGATGAACAATGGAAGCTCTGCCCTATCTTGCTCACTGGTTTCCTTCTTGTACTTTGACCTCAGTTATTTTGTACGAATGCTTCGACTACCATGTCCCTTAAATCAGTTGTTGTTAAACTTAATGGTTTTATTTGCAGGCCAAGAGAGTGCAGAAGTGCGTCGAAACCCTAGATGTGATAAAGTTATCGAATGCTAAAGTAAAGCCGGTTATTGTTGCAACCAAATGGGAAACATTTGATCCTCCTCCCACTACAGCTCACTGGGAATTTTTTGATTAATCCTCTCCTTTTCATGTTACTAGTATATACATATGTGTTTTACCTCGAGATTTCACTCGGGATATACATAAGGGATATATCCTACTTGTACTTATGTCCCATCCTCCATGTACTTACAAATAATCATTTTTCACCGTCAACAGATAATCCAANGAAATGTTTTTTTTTTTTCCAACGGTTTTGTTTGTTTTAATTATAGTCAATTATCCAAAATTAGTTTTTTTTTGGGCAAAATCCAAAATTAGTTTATTTAAGGCTAATTTCACTTTGCATCCGGAAAGATACTTTGATATTTAATTTGCTCAATTTACGATAACAATATAAACCTGACCCAGACTGTCGTTTAATTTTTCCCCATAAATTAAAGCACGTGAGATACAAGTGCTTTGGGGATGAAGATGAGGTATGTCCATTGATGCAAATCTTCGTCTGCTATCAATTTGACACCATTTTGTGTATCGAAAATAAGATTGCATTAATCATATAGAAGTTAACCATATCATGTGTAACTCACATGCAGCTCCAACAATCTATGAATTTACATACAAATCCATGTCCAAAGCACTTGAAACTCATGTGCTTTAATTTATGACAAAAAATTAAACAGCAGTTTGTGTTAAGTTCACATTGCTACCAATTCATAATATTGAGGGGTGCAAATTAAAAATAAAAATATTTTTTAGGATGTAAAGTGAGATAAACCCTTTATTTTATCCCATTTGATGGGTGTACGGAGATTTCACTGTTATTCCATGAGATCCAAAAGAATCACCTTAATTTCAAAAGTTGGTTCAATAATTTCGAAATTGTGGTTTCAAATCAAATCTAACGATAACTACTTTACATAAATAATGTCAAATGTGTTCGTATCTAATTTATCTCTTCATTTCTTTTTTTGATAAATTATCTATCATGTATTCAAGTATGATTCATTATATATAAGTAAATTCTTCATTTATTAATAATGATTGATGTCCCAATAAGAGAATCGAAAAAGAAAATATATTAGAGAAGATAAATTTTACTAAGTTTTTGCTAGTCGATTCGTTTATTAAATAAGTTAGAGTGATGAAATAATTAAAATTGATCCGAATTGACAAAATTAAGACAAAAAGGTGGGTGACAGGGCAATTCACTTTTAGTGCCCAAAAAAGCTGTTAGTGATGTTGAGTGAAATCACCAATACATTGGGGGGGCTGGGGGTCCATTTATCATTGGCTCTAGGAACTTGACTGAAAACCACTGTTTTAAGTTGGGCCTTGTGTACCCACCTGCTGCTTTTGTTTATTATTTGAAGTTGATTCAACTTTGCGAGAATTATGCTCTTTTTAAGTCTTGAAAATTTTCAATTGATCATTTAGATTTGTCGATATTTAAAGTATTATACACAAGTCTCCTGAACTTTGTACGTACATAATATTTAAACTCTGTCGTTAAATATTAGTTAGTATATCTCTTATTAAATTATACTTAATTCTCTGAAGTTTATAAGCATATAATACTTAGACCCCTCAAATTTAAAATATTATACGTAAATAAAAAATATTTTAATTAAAAATAGAATATCAAATATTTTAAATTTTAGAACCAAAATTCATGCTTTATTGTATTATTTATTGAAACAAATTAAAAAATAAAAAACCAATTTTTTCTTAAAAAATCATAACTAATATACAATTATATTATCAATGGGAGTAAAACTTAAAAATCAAACAAAGGGTTTAAATCATTCATAATAGAATATGAATTTTACATCAAAAATTTATGTTCTATTATGTCATTTATTAAAAAAAAAATCTAATTTTTCTTAAAAAATCATAATTAGTATACAATTATACTCTCTATTAAAATAAAACTAAAAAATCAAACAAGAGGTCAAACTGTAAATAAGACAATATATTTTAACTTTAATTAGGGTAATTTGGTAGTTTAATTTGATCGTTTAACCAAATTATTAAATTCAAATAGATAGTATAAATTATACTAATTATGATTTTTTTTTTTTAAATTATTTTTAATTTTATTTCAATAAATGTCATAATAGAATATGAATTTTACATCAAAAATTTATGTTCTATTATGTCATTTATTAAAAAAAAAATCTAATTTTTCTTAAAAAATCATAATTAGTATACAATTATACTCTCTATTAAAATAAAACTAAAAAATCAAACAAGAGGTCAAACTGTAAATAAGACAATATATTTTAACTTTAATTAGGGTAATTTGGTAGTTTAATTTGATCGTTTAACCAAATTATTAAATTCAAATAGATAGTATAAATTATACTAATTATGATTTTTTTTTTTTAAATTATTTTTAATTTTATTTCAATAAATGTCATAATAGAATATGAATTTTACATCAAAAATTTATGTTCTATTATGTCATTTATTAAAAAAAAAATCTAATTTTTCTTAAAAAATCATAATTAGTATACAATTATACTCTCTATTAAAATAAAACTAAAAAATCAAACAAGAGGTCAAACTGTAAATAAGACAATATATTTTAACTTTAATTAGGGTAATTTGGTAGTTTAATTTGATCGTTTAACCAAATTATTAAATTCAAATAGATAGTATAAATTATACTAATTATGATTTTTTTTTTTTAAATTATTTTTAATTTTATTTCAATAAATGTCATAATAGAATATGAATTTTACATCAAAAATTTATGTTCTATTATGTCATTTATTAAAAAAAAAATCTAATTTTTCTTAAAAAATCATAATTAGTATACAATTATACTCTCTATTAAAATAAAACTAAAAAATCAAACAAGAGGTCAAACTGTAAATAAGACAATATATTTTANTGAGTAATGTTATGTAATATAAATTTACAATTTAAATTTGTATCATAAATGAAAGAGGATCATTGGATCAGTGAATCCATTTAAAAAATTTCATGAGATCCACTTATCTAATGGTCCCCCTTCTTTTGAAATACAAATTTGGGTTATAAATTTGAGTTACATAATATTTCCTAACAGGCTGTCTGCCCGTCTCTCTTGCAAGTTGCAAGTAGTGATGTGCTGTCTGTATTCAATTTATGCTTAAAACTAGACTTGCTTGTTCGGGTAAATTATAATTTACTCCCTTAGATTATTATTTTTATTTTATTTTTTTTATGCCCTCAATTATAAATTTGTTTACATTGCACCTTAAAGTATCAATTTTGTTTTATATCACTCCAATTATAACGAATGTAAATTTTTTGACAATAAATACATATGTGAGTAGTCTGTACTGTCAATAAGCAATTCGTTTGAAAGCATAGTAATTACACATATTCATGTTCCTAATAGGTTTGACAAGATTTATGCTAATTGTGAACTACTTAACATCATGCTCCTTTTTATCGAAGTGCGACACTAATGACGTATAAAGCAAATATTTTCAAATTCTTAGCACAATTTTCGGTAGAACTACAATACATTAGTCATTAGCTCATCCACAACTAGCATTCAAAGTTTCAAATTGAAATGATGAACAATGGAAGCTCTGCCCTATCTTGCTCACTGGTTTCCTTCTTGTACTTTGACCTCAGTTATTTTGTACGAATGCTTCGACTACCATGTCCCTTAAATCAGTTGTTGTTAAACTTAATGGTTTTATTTGCAGGCCAAGAGAGTGCAGAAGTGCGTCGAAACCCTAGATGTGATAAAGTTATCGAATGCTAAAGTAAAGCCGGTTATTGTTGCAACCAAATGGGAAACATTTGATCCTCCTCCCACTACAGCTCACTGGGAATTTTTTGATTAATCCACTCCTTTTCATGTTACTAGTATATACATATGTGTTTTACCTCGAGATTTCACTCGGGATATACATAAGGGATCTATCCTACTTGTACTTATATCCCATCCTCCATGTACTTACAAATAATCATTTTTCACCGTCAACAGATAATCCAAGTTTTGTATTTTGAATTCCCGACCCCCTTCCATCTTTTTAAGATATCAAGTTTGCCCTTAGTCGGTTGTGCTGCAACGATGATACACGCTCAATGTTATAAAATTGTTACAGTGTAAGGGCCCTCAAACTAACTTCCGTCGGCATTTTTATTGAATTTCACTGCATTTTGTGTGGAAGACATCACGTTTATTGCAAAGAATTTAATGCTAACTTTCCGTCATGTACCTAGACCGTGCAATCAAGCTGCTCATTGAGTTGCTAAAGCAGCTGAAACCAATTCCCTTCCTTGTGACTGGTGTATCTGCCTGCCAGGGGAGCTTGGGGAAAGGGTTGTCAATTTTATCTATTAACACGAATTCAACCTTATACAAAACTTGAAAATAATACGATTAATCGACACGAGTAATAAATAGGTCACATTAAAATTCAACTCGAATTACACGATTAACGGATAATATAGGTAAAAAATAAGTATCTAACGAGTATTGTAAACAAAAAATAAGAAATTTATAAATTTTTTAAAATTTTTAAATAGTATTATATGAGTTGTTGTGAAATTAAATAATTTTGTATTAACACAAATATTGACACGAACCCAACATGTACCATAAGTAAACCGATACGAAAATACACAATCAAAAATGATACGACACAACATAATTGACACCTCTAATTAGAGGCATTATACATATAGACAAAATTTGTAAATGAAAAGGTGCTTTTCCTACTGGCTCAAAAAAAAAAAGTGTGGAGCTACGTAACAAATTTGACGAAAATTACAATGGAAGTTAGAGTGAGGAGCACATTATAACCATTTTATGACATTGAGGAAGTAATGTGAAAAAGATTAATAATAAAAAGTGTAAATTGAGAATTTTAAAATTTTTGAAGTACAACGTGTGATTCGCCCAAGTTCTAATTAGACACATGATAGATGGGTGATAGTAGTCACGTGTCTTAAAATTGACGATTTTTTGTTATTAAAACTTCAAAAAAATAAAAATAAAAACGAAGAGAAAAAAAAATCCACAAAACGAGTGTGAGGAATAATTAGTTAACCTGAAAATAATATAATTTAATAATACGAAATATATTTAGCTGCATGTATGAACAAGTTTTTTATTTGGTTTTTTGTTGGTTTTTTTTTTTTGATGGGGGAATAGATGGACCGAAGTGCTACAAGAAGAATCCTAACCATATGCTTGTGGGTACCTATAACTAGCGAACAAGTCTTGCACAGTCGTGTTTTGATATGCACTCAAACTTCCCTGACAACCAACCCCCAGACCACTTCTCTCAGTTCACACTTTCCTCATCAACCATTTTTCAAGAAAACCCAAAGCCCTACATTCTCAAGAAATGCATTGCTCTCTTGCTAACATGTGCGTCCTCCAAATACAAACTCAAGCAAATCCATTCCTTCTCCATCAGACATGGTGTCCCCTTAAACAACCCCGACTTGGGCAAACACTTGATCTTCAAACTCGTATCCCTCTCAGCACCAATGTCATATGCCCACAATATATTTTTTCAAATCCAAAACCCAAATGTTTTCACTTGGAATACAATGATTAGAGGCTATGCTGAGAGTGAAAACCCAAGTCCGGCCATTGATATACACCAAGAAATGCATGGGAATTCCATCGAACCTGATACACATACATACCCGTTTCTTCTAAAAGCCATTGCTAAGCTAATGGCTGTTAGAGAGGGTGAGAAGATACATTGCATTACTTTAAGAAATGGGTTTGAGTCATTGAGTTTTGTGCAAAACACTTTGGTACATGTGTATGGTGCTTGTGGCCATGCTGAAAGTGCATACAAGTTGTTTGAGTTAATGCCTGAGAGAAGTCTTGTGGCTTGGAATTCTGTGATTAATGGGTTTGCTGTTAATGGGAGGCCCAATGAGACTTTGACCCTGTACCGGAATATGGGTTTGGAGGGTGTTCAACCTGATGGGTTTACACTGGTTAGCTTGTTAACTGCTTGCGCTGAGCTTGGGGCGTTGGCATTGGGTAGGAGGGCACATGTGTACATGTTGAAGTTGGGATTGAATGAGAATTTGCATGCTGCCAATGCCCTTTTGGACCTGTATGCGAAGTGTGGAAACATTAGGGAGGCACAAAAGGTTTTTGATGAAATGGAGGACAGGAGTGTGGTGTCTTGGACTTCTTTGACTGTTGGATTGGCTGTCAATGGGTTTGGTAAGGAGGCACTTGAACTTTTCAGGGAGTTGGAGAGACAAGGGTTGGTTCCTACTGAAATCACTTTTGTTGGGGTATTGTATGCTTGTAGTCATTGTGGGATGGTGGATGAAGGGTTTGCTTACTTTGAAAGGATGAAAGAGGAATTTGGCATTGTGCCTAAGATTGAACATTATGGTTGCATGGTTGACTTGTTGGGTAGAGCAGGCTTGGTGAAACGAGCATATGAGTTTGTTCAGAGCATGCCATTGCAGCCAAATGCTGTGATTTGGAGGACCTTACTAGGAGCATGCACAATACATGGCCATTTGGCTCTAGGGGAGGTTGCAAGAGCTCAACTTCAAAGATTAGAGCCTAAGCATAGTGGGGATTTTGTTCTCCTTTCCAATCTCTATGCGTCTGAGAGACGTTGGCCAGATGTGCAAAATGTGAGAAGGACAATGCTGAACGAAGGGGTAAGAAAATTTCCAGGACATAGCCTTGTTGAGTTAGGGAATTGTATGTATGAATTTGTCATGGGAGATAGATCTCATACTCAAAGTGAGGATATATATGCAATGCTAGCAGAGATGACAAGATTGTTGAAATTGGAAGGTTATGTGCCTCATACATCAAATGTGCTTGCAGACATTGAGGAAGAGGAGAAGGAAACTGCTTTGACTTATCATAGTGAGAAGATTGCAATCGCATTCATGCTTATCAATACACCACCTGGGACCACAATCAGAGTTGTGAAGAACTTGAGGGTGTGTGCGGATTGCCACATTGCAATAAAACTCATATCGAAGGTTTTTGACCGAGAGATTGTCGTGAGAGATCGTAGTCGGTTTCACCATTTTAGAGATGGAACTTGTTCTTGTCGAGATTATTGGTAAATGTCAACGAATTTGGTATATTTTTGGATCAATTTATGTATTTTGCATTCTTCATTGTGCTGAGTTTGGAGTTTCTGTGGCAATTGATTGTGAGTTGACAAGTGATAGATAAAAAAGTGAGGAAGTTCGTCCACAATTTAAGATACTAAAGTTAGAATGTTGTCAAAATGCGAAGGGAATAAAAGTTGTTAGCTCACTTGTTGACCTCTCCTTAGCGTGTTGGATGCAAATATGTTTATGACAACATAGCAATTGGTTAATGTTAGCTGAGACGGATTCTAAATCCCAACACTTTGTTGATAGTTTTCAGCAGTAAATATCTCATCATCCTTGCTTTAGGAATGGGAAGGAGTTTAGAAAATCTCCTCAATGCATACTAAGTTACACATAATTCGGTAGTCCCTTTAAACTTAGATTTTGGGATCTGCAGTCAGCTAAGTTGAGTTGTCATTATGGTAGCTCTTGGTTAAGCAATAGGCTTTAAGCTCATTCCCCTCAATAAACTTTCCACTTGCTCTTTAGTCAAACCTTTTACAAGCAGATCTGCAACATTATCTATTGACTTCACATAGTCAATGAATAAAATACCATTAGAGAGCAATTGTTTAACAGTATTGTGTCTATGACATATGTGTCTAGACTTACCGTTACGCATACAATTATGTGTCATTCCAATCATAGATTGGCTATCACAGTGAACGCGTATTGCAGACACATGTTTTGGCCAATTTAGAATGTCTTCTAAGAAGTTATGAAGATATTTTGCTTCTTCTCTTGCTTTATCTAAGATAATGAACTCAAATTTCATTATAGATCTAGCAATAGAAGTTTGTTTTGAAGATTTCTAAGACATGGCTGCACTACCCAAGGTAAATACATATCCACTCGTGGATTTTGAATCTTTAGTATCGAATATCCAATTAGTATTAGTGTATTCCTCGAGTACTGCTAGGTACTTCGTGTAGTGCAATTCATAGTTTTGAGTATGTCTTAGATATCCCAAAACTCTAATAATTTCTTGCTAATGGTCTTTTCTGTGATTACTTGTATATCGAATTAGCTTACTCACTAAGTATGCTATATCCAAATAGGTATAATTAATTATGTATATGAAACTATCAATTATACGTGTCCATTTTAACTGTGATATGTTATTTTCCTTATTCTTAAAAAAATGGATATCAACAACGACAGATGTTTTCATAGGTTTTATCTCATACTTCTTGAACTTATCAAGTACTTGATTAATATAATGAGATTAAGATAACACAAGTCCTTCTAATGTTCTAAAAATTTTAATTTCTAATATAACGTCAGCAACACTTAGGTCTTTCTTTTCAAACATATTTGTCAACAACCGCTTGGTAGCTTTAATGACATTGTTGTTGCTACCTATAATTAGCATATCGTCTACATAAAAACTTAAAATAACGTATCCACTATGAATACTCCTAACATATACACATTTGTCACACTCATTTATTTTGAATGCATTTTTGTCAAAATTTTCATGTCATTGCTTCGATGCTTGTTTTAAACCATATAGATATTTAACAAGCTTGCAAACTTTCTTTTATTATCCATTAGCAATGAACCCCTCAAGTTATTTCATGTATATTTTTTCATCTAATTCACTATTTAAGAATGTTGTCTTTACATCTATTTGATATATTTCAAGACCATTTAAACCAGCTATAGTAATTAACATCTGTATGAAAATAATTCTAGTAACTGGTGAATAAGTGTCAAAATAATCCACTACTTCCCTTTGTTTATGTCATTTGGCTATATGTGACGCCTCTAAAATCGAGGGTCATTTGTCAACCCGTTGATCATTCATCAACCCGCGAAAGTACCTGTGAATGTCTCATAACCTGACACTACATCAATAATATCCCTTTTACCGAGGTCATAAACGACACAACGTTTGAACAGAGTCTCCCTTGTACCGGACATTCTCAAACGCATAATCTGTATACTATTCAATCACATGACCCATCCAGGGTCTAATATACATAAATTTACTCTCATTTATTGTCCATTTATATCATTTGAACAAAAGAACCCAAGACCCGAAGGCTTAGCAAAAGCATTTCAAATTTTGAGATTTAAACAGAACCTATCTTAGAAGAACTCAGAGTTCTACCGATAGGAAAAACCTAATGAAAAAGTTCTATCAGTAGGAATATCAACATTCTACCGGTAGAAAAACTCACTAGAAATGTTCTACCAGTAGAAGATGCCTATTGGAAAAGTTCTATCGGTAGAAGAACTGGTCGTTCTACCGGTAGGTCTTTCCAGTTTTCTCCTGATTCCATCCTTTTTCAATTCCAATTCATTCCAACCTTATTCAACATCAACCCAACTCATACAATATGCAATTTTACATAAAACATAGTTCATATGAAGTCGATTACAATTCCTTACATACATTATATGCCCAAAAAAAACTAAAATACATATTCGTTTTACAAAAACATAGTTAAAAGCCATATTTAAGCTTCTTCAACAATGAGGGCCCGTGTGAGAGCCGTCCATCGATGCATGTCCTACACCTAAAATATTATCCCCACAAAGGATGAGCCACACTCAATAGGGTATCTCCTAAAGAGGCTACTATTCAACCTAGATATATATGAAATATTCACATGTAATTCACAAGCAATAAATAATCCATTCAAGAATATGCAATTCATAATGGATTCCCAATGCCATGTTATGTTATGAGATGAAACTTACACATGCAACTCAACCCGAGCCTTTACTGGCTCCCATAACACATGCAATGCTATGCATATGAATCCAGACATTCCAAGCTCTCGTCATTGATGTTACACATCCAATGACCTTTTTAAAATAAATGATGTGTCTTTGTTAGGTAGCGGGATTTTGGTGTCTCACCGCCAGTTCCGTACACCAATACATTTTTTGGATTTTCACCAGCGGAAGTGTATAAACCAGTAACCGAGTCTTGCACCCGAGGAAGAATCTAGCCCTGCTTGCTATACCCGATACAAGTTTTTCATGAAACTGTGTAATTCAGTCAGACCTAGGTCCAACCTCCCCGAGTCCACTTATCAACCACCAATTTGATCCAACAACATGCACACACACCCACACTCATGTCAATGTCCACAAATGCGATGTTTTCTATGCATATGCAATATAAAATGTACAATTGTAATTCTCAACCATGTTCAATAAGTCATGAGCACATTATGAACATTCAAATATCCAATCATCATACTCCATAGTAAATTGCATCATAAACATATATCCACTTCAATGTCAATATATCATATACATATACCAACATTTCTCAACATCAAATTTCAAGTATGTTATAACATAATTTATGCAAATAACACATTTAATCCACATAGGCATTTAATCAAACACCTTTAAGGCAAGAAAAATCATGTATCACATAATATGCCTCAAATCACCATATTTCTCAAGAAATCACAATAAGTAATTTTTATATATCCAATTCATGCTAGAATTGATTTTAACAATTTTTAATACTCATTTTTCATATTTCAAATACCATAGGTAAGTGTTATACATGATAATACATCTCTAACACCCTATCCATTCTATATATCAACCCTAGGTTAAAAATAAACTTAGTTAAAAAAAGAAATCTACCTCTTGAAACATAAAACAAGTATTAGAAGCCTTCAAGAACACAAATCAAGCCTTAACCCTTGATTTTCCCAAATCTTGATTCTTGAACTTCATCAAAATCTGTGTTTTTTGGTATGATTTTGTAGCCCTTGTCATGTAGAACAATCTTTATTCTTGGCCCGAGTCGATTCGACGAGCGTAGAGTCGTAGATCGTAGAAAGAAGTTGAAAAACTCTCTTTTTTCCCTCTCTTCCCTCTCCAACAAAACAGAGCAGAGATTTGGGGAAGAAATCTGATTTTTCTTCCCCTTTTATACTCTCTAAACACTTGGCCCTTGTTGTGCCACATGTCCTCCATTCCCGGGTCTAATTTCGTTCCGAATCAATTGAATTTCATTTCGATTCAAGTTCAAAATATTTTTATTTGAATTAGGTTTAAATTATTTTTCAATTTTCATAATTTGATTCCTGATCTCATTTATTTAGGTCACACGACATCCGATCGTCTCATAAAACGCAAAAAATCTAACTATCTCAAAATTCAATAAAAATTGATTGGGTAACTAGATTTTGCGAGACAAATCCAATGGTGAGATCCATTGCGTCATCTGAGTTCTAGAAAAATTTAAAATTTTAACCCGTACTATAGTGACAAATTATTATTTTACCCTTTTTCATAAAAATTCAAATTTACCTGGATTTTACATTATAAGTCTAGCTTTGTACTTGTCAATAGATCCATCGACTTTCATCTTCTTTTTAAAGATCCAATTATGGCCTAAAGGTTTGTTACCTAGTAGAAGATCCACCAACTCCCTTCTATGATTCCTCATAATGGATTCAATTTCAGAATCGACAGATTCCTTCCAATAAGGAGCTTCGGAGGAGGACATAACTTCTTTGAAACTTTGAAAATCATTTTCTAATAAATAAGTTAAAAAATCATGACCAAATAACTTCGAAGTCTTTGTCCTTTTACTACATCTAGGTTCATCTTCGATGAACTTTTTCTTTTGACCATTACTAGTTGAAGCCTCAATTGGTTTTTTTAATGAGCTTGATTCATGTGACATATTAAATCGAAAATTATTTGCAAAAAATGACACATTTCTTGACTCTATAATTGTATTAAGATGCACATCAGGAATTTTAGATTTACAAACAAGAAATTGATATGCACTATTGTTATAAGCATAACCAATTAATAATTTTTGGTCCTATCTGAGCAGGGTTCTAAATATCGATCATTACGACGTGTAATTACCGTTACGTAACAGTAATGATGTGTTTTGATTCTGTTATAATTAGATATAACAAATAGAATAAATTTCACAACCGTAACGGTCATTACGTCTCTATAACGTGCACATAACGGACGTAACGAATGATACAGGTAAACTCGATCGCTTTGACCCATCACAAACCAAAACGTGATTCGAGTATAAAACCCAAATTTCAGCCCCAAAAATTAATTTCATCTAAAACCTAATTCAAC